ACAGCGTGCTTCTATCTCCGTGCTGTTGTCGCACTGTGATGACGTCAGCTACGCAGTTTCGTCGAGCACCCTTTAGTCAAACGCGGTTTTGTGGTGGAACCCTGTGTTTCTACTAGCAACATTCTTTCTCTCTAGCTGTACATTCCGCTGCACTACTTTCTGTCTCCCAACGGAGATACCCCTAACAAAGCCCACAAGTCTTAAAGTGGCCAAGGTTGGAGACCCCCTGCCTTACATCACCATTTCTCAACCACGACAACTTTTAAGTCGTGCGAACTTCGCTCCCCAGAATTCTCCAGGCAGAATTCTGGGAGTTGGAAGTCCACGTATCTTACAGTGGCCACGTTTGGGAAAGGCCGCCTGAGCTTCTTCGAAGTTTACCTGTCCCAGGCGAGTCCTTCTCCGTGAACCAAGCTGTCCGGACGTTGTTTTTGCTGGGGTGCAAACGGAGGGGCCGGAAGACCCCCGGGGCTGGGCAGGCATGGAGGCGGATTGTCACCATCTTTGCATCCTTCCCTACAACAACAGATGGAGAAGAAAAGGAAGGAGAAGAGAATAAAAAAGGGAGAATTAGCAATGTGGACCCAAATGCAGAGAGAGAGAGGCAATCAGAGTCCGGTCTGTTTGACTTTGGGCTTTATCTTGAAATAAGTCTTTTTAAAAAACCCCAAATGATGGGAATTGTTGACAGTGTTGGGGAAACTGAGGTTATGAAGCCTCGGAAGCTAAGCAGGATGGGTTAGTATTTGGATGCGGGCCTGCCTGGTACTGACAGTGAGGGAGATAGGAAAGAAGAAAGGAGGGAGGAAGGAGTCAAGGACAGAGGAAGGGAAGAGTCAAGGATGGAGGGAAGGAGGGAATGAGGGAGGAAAGAAGGAAGGAGGGATGGCGGGAAGAATGACTCAAGGAGAGAGGGAGGGAGGAAAGAAAGAAAGATTGAGTCAAGGAGGGAGGAGTCAGGGAGGGAGGAAAGAAGAAGGAAGGAAGGAGTCAAGGATGGAGGGAGGGAAGAGTCAAGAATGGAGGGAAGGAGGGAGTGAGGGAGGAAAGAAGGAGGGAGGGAAGGAAGGGTCAAGGATGGAGGGAGGGAGGAAAGAAGAAAGGAGGGATGGAGGGAAGAATGACTCAAGGAGAGAGGGGGAGGAAAGGAGGAAGGAGGGAAGAAAGGAAGAATGAATCAAGGAGGGAGGGAGGGCGGGGTCAGGGAGGGAAGATAGAAGAAGGAAGGAAGGAGTCAATGGTGGAGGGAAGAAGGGAGGGAGGGAAAAAGGAAGGAAGGGTCATGGAAGGAGAGGAGGGAGGAAGGGAGAAAGAATGAAGGAGGGAAGTCAAGGATGGAGGGAGGGAGGGAGGAAGGAAGGAAGGAAAGAAGGGAGGGAGGAAAGGGTCAAGGATGGAGGGAGGAAAGAAGTAAGGAGGGATGGAGGGAAGAATGACTCAAGGAGAAAGGCAGGGAGGAAAGGGACGGGGAAGAATGGAGGGAGGAAGGAAAGAAGGAAGGAGGGAAGAAAGGAAGAATGAGTCAAGGAGGGAGGGAAGGGGGAGGGAGGGAAGAAGGAAGGAAGGAGGGAGGGAAGGGACAAGGAAGGAGGGAAGGAGGGAGGAAGAAAGAATGAAGGAGGGAGGTAAGAGTCAAGGAGGGAGGGATGGAGGAAGGAAAGAAGGAAGGGAAGAAGGAGGGAAGAAGGAAGGGAAGAATGAATCAAGGAGAAAGAGATAGAGGGAAGAAAGAAAGAAGGAAGGGAGGGAAGTAAGGGTCAAGGACGGACGGGGGGAGGAAAGAAGGAAGGAGGGAGGTAAGAATGAGCCAAGGAGGGAGGAAGGGAAGAAAGGAGGTCAAAACAAGAAGATGACAGCAAAGCCAGCCAAGGAGACTTCCGGCTTCCTCCACTCCACAGTTCTTTGACTTCCTCACTGTTAGCAAGGTGTGTGCAGAATCCTTCGCTCCCCCCTCTCACCTTGAGGCTGGAGGAGGACAAGGGGCTTCAGGTGGTTGCCGTTCATGTAAGTAAAGGCCACGCTCCCAAAGCGGTTTGTCTCGGCCAGGTGTTGGGCCAGGTGGGCCAGGTAGAGGGCCCTCTTGCGGTGGTAGCGCTGGTTAAGGTTATCCTTCTCTTGGAAGACTTCCTAAAAAGCACAAACACCGTTTTCAGGTAGTCCTCGACTTACGACCCCAAATTTATGTTGCTAAGTGAGAGACATCAGTTAGGGGAGTTTTGTAGAAACATGGCCAAGAAAACAGAAGACCAACCAGCATGAAATATCCCTTTACATGCTGAGTTCATCTTCCCAATGTTATTATCCGTCTTACTATCTGTTTGGTCTAAATGGTGAAGGCACCACGCTAGAAACCAGGAGACCGTGAGCTCTAGTACCCACCTTGGCATCAAAGGCTGTGGAGTGACTTTAAGCCAATCACCAGGAGACAGGGAGTTCTAGTCCTGCCTTAGGCATGGAAATCATGTAGGGCAGTGGTCTCCAACCTTGGCAACTTTTAAGACTTGTGGACTTCAACTCCCAGAGTTCCTCAGCCAGCTTTGCTAACCCTAACCCTAACTCTGGAAGTTGAAGTCCACAGGTCTTAAAGTTGCCAAGGTTGGAGACCACTGATGTAGGGGACTTTGGACCAATCACCAGCAGACTGTGAGTTCTAGTTCTAATTTAGGCACGAAAACCACCTAGGGGACTTTGGGCCAATCACCAGAAGGTGAGTCCTTGTTCCATCCGTGACCCGTCAAAAC